TAATCCGATGTAGAGACAGACAGGAATCCCTCTGGGCTGGATGTTTTGAGGCCTTGGTGTGGGTCTCGAATCACATCGGGGCCCTCGGATTGTACAAAACCCAGTCACGCTATGCTGACTTCGGATGAACTGACGCTTGTGCGAGTTCCTGATTGGCAGGATGTGTGGCATGAGTGACTGAGGCGATGTGTGCACGGGTGTGTGTGCCGAATTGATGGGGATGCTGTGAAAGGACGATCGACATGGCTGCTGGGCGTAAATCACCATGATCGGCTTTAAAATCAGGCAAAATCAACAAGTTTACCTTGAATCAGTTTTGTATCAACCTATGCAGGTCAAAACTTGTTCTACCGGGATATACTGCAACAATTTTTAGGATAATCATAACGAGTGTACAATCGTTTGTCCCATATTCAAAGTTAACTTGCGAAACCTGGGATATTATTGGATTACATTACAGTCCTATGCATACGTACAAGTTTAATGTAACAAAAGTATTTTTGTCTAAATTCAACTCAGAACGACTGACTAGTGCTCGGCTTTATTTTTTCTCTTTTAGGTGACCCACAACTCTGGTAAATTAGTGTTTCCAGCTGCGAAATATCGATTGTAAGGGCTCACGAAGTTACTGGTTTGAGAGAAATATCTACCTACCTACTTATGGACGAGCTTACAAAATTACCGGGTTCAAAAAGTGAACAATCATTTGTCCTCTGAAGGCAAGCGAATAGTTTTCAGCAAGATTCACAGAGAGCGAACACGAAAGAAACAAGGCAAAGAGCAAAACAACTTTGTTTGGTTGCGTAAATCTCCGATGGTTGTATGTGTGTGTTGAGTACAATCACACTTGGCAAATAGCGGTGAACAATTGAGAAAATCAAAACGCATTACACATACGAATTACAGTGCATGTGTGCATATGTTTGAGATAGTGCATGGTGAAATCAAACTCCGCAATTTTTGAACTCTGTGCTTGAGCAGTTGCAGTTGCAGTGTAGACGTAGTCGTTGTCTTTCTTGCACCTATTTTTGTGTGACGAAGGAAATGGAAAATAAGAACCACGTGGAAAGGTATTTTCGGTGTCATTGCGGACAGGGAAGTGTGTGCAAGGGAACTGGGAAGGGGCCAATCTCATTGGAGCATGCGAGTTGAAAGCGGCAAAGAAGAGACCATATTTTCAGGTATTTGGGTAGCCATAGAAACAAGCCTTCGGCCAAAGTGGTTGATTTATCCCAAAGGGATAGACGTTTGTTGCTAGAAGTAAAAAAACGGGTATTTTAAGGAGAGGCACGCAATGAAGGAATGTAACCACACACCCAAATCCAATAACTTAAATTCACCAAATTCAACAAACGGGGACACCTGACACAATATTAACCATTTTCACATAAACTAATTGCAGAAAGAGGCTTTTTATTCCTGTGTTTGATACGTTCGCAAGTGTTTAGCAAAACCTCCCAACAGTGCGTGTAAGTAAAATTCGAATTTATCAAACTCTTAATTATAGAATGTTTTGATCGTTACGCACTCAATAATGCAGTATCATGTTCAGATTATTAGATGAAATTCAGTGAAGTGAAAACCACAGCGACATTATACGTCAAAATCTATTTTATTTGTTTAGTGAACTAATTAGACAATTATCAGTTATTTATGCTCTGTCCTCTAAGCAATTACGTGATACCACTAATTTTTTTGCCTCTTGGACTGAAATGACTCCAGCTAGCATGTAATCGCTTACTTTTGTCACTTAGCCCAGAAGTTTCAACACTTCTGCCACACTGCCCTGTATGGAGCTTGTAATCATTCTCACATGGTCAGATTTGTGGGTATCAGAATATCAACTTTCTAGAATTACCACTAAATTCGCTTGGCCGATGCTGGTATAATTTGAGTGATATTCCATCCCTGATTATCCCACAAGTTTGTACGATAATTTTAAAGTGGTTACGCACATGGCCTCCTACAACTACGACCATATCGTGTAAGGTAAAAGTGAGGCTCCACTAGTAGTTGATTTAATCCTGTAGGATTTTAAGTGATCACCTTTTAAGCCCTTTGAATGTTAGACAATAATGCACTTGAGATATTCGGCTAAGCTTGCATTTCATTTACCAAAAATGTCTAGATGCCTGGGGCATGTCAACTCAATATAAAACCCTAATCTACCTATTCAAAATTTTATATTTTTGAGTTTTATTCTATTGGCAATATAGATAAAAAAAAGATAAATGGGACTCTACTAGCATTTCTTTAAACTTTAAATTGGAGCTAATTCAAATATGTTATATCTTAGTTATGTCAAATTATGTTTAAGAGACTTGACTTTCTATTTAAGTGAACTTCGGTAAAAGAAAACCTTAAAACTTAGCATAATTTTCAACAAATAAAATAAAAACTGGTTTCTAAACCAAGTTGATTTAGATATAAAGGCACAAATATTATGAAATAAATAGTTTGGTGTTATAATGTATCCAAGATCTAATGTCCATTTAATAACAGAGCGTTTATAATAAATTTACTTTACAACTGATATCTAGCATAAGAATAGTGATATAAATATCATGAGTTATTACAAGGTTACTCATTAATGACATCTGCCATTTGAGCCCACACGCCAAAAGCTATCTTTGGCACTGAACATGGTCAATTCAATGTCATGTCACTACGAAAAGGGAAGCAGTGCTAATATAACTAGAATGGTTTGCAACATAGCAAACATTGGTGCGTGGTGCTTGTGTAGATGACGAAACTCACACGAGAAACTTTTTAACTGAGCCACATGGCACATGTGAGGACATTTAAAATAATTATAGAAATAATAACAAGCTACCGTCAACGGGTTGTCCACTTAGCTGGCCATTTAAAAGGGGGAGGACCATGTCAAAGGGTTGGGAAGGTGCAGGTGTGCCATAGTTCAGGACACCCAAGCCTGCCATTTGGTAAATTGTAGCCAGGGAATTTAATTCTAGTGGATTTGTTGGGACTGCTGCTTTCGGAGCTGCCGTGGCCGCAATTTGAGGGTGGATGTAAGCAGCAGTGGTATTTCCGTGTGTCACCGTGGGATCCTGCTGAATCCATGGGATACAAGCGAACTGGTATAGAGGGGTCGCAAGGGCTGCCGCGGTTGCAGCTGCAGCTGCAACAGCTGGAGATACCTACCGTATAGAAAAGCCTCTTATTTCAAAGAATGACATGCTATGGATGTCAAACTATCACTGGGGCCATCCCATACACAAAGTGCTTGTTAGTAACCAAGTGACAAGTAAAGGAAAATGCGGCTAAATTAAAATAGGACCATATACAGTAGCGAAAAGTAAACTTTGACTATCAGCCTCCATGTGATCATATTACTTTTAGAAGTGTCATCTGTTCTCGCCCATCAAGAATGGGTTCATTTTTTTATAAAATCACCAAAGATGAGGTTTTGATGTCATATTAAGTCCCAACTGCACGAGGTTTAAATAAAATAAAAGCATTTCAAATGCTTTGTTTGAATTTCGAATACTAATCTAAAGGCTGTCGATGTTTCTTTTAAATGAAAAGTCACAAAATATTGTTATTTGAAAAAACTGGACGCCATCAAATCAGAAAACAAAGTCGCTATGGCATGAGCAACCTTATTTAGCTTTAGTTATAAATCTTCAGTTGAAAAGCGTCACGGATCACAGGTTCATTTTTGAAACTGCAGATGTGTTCCATTGTGTGCAATACCTAACTAGGCTTAAATGAAATGAACTCAGTGAGATTTATTGCAGCCACACATAAGTATAAATTGGTTACACGCAGACATTCACCAGAATCTATTGTGATCGTCCATGTATTTGACAAGGCTGCTTGTTTTTTGACAGCAAAAATTTGACTGATTTCAGGACTCCAATGTCCTCGTTTGCATGATTTACCTCATAACTAACAGAAATTAGCTCTACTTAGTTTGTTTTGACTCTCCAAAGGTTATTACAAATCAAGTAAATTTTAGTTTAACTGTGATGTGAGTAGCAAAGCAAAATACGATTCTTTTAACTAAAATTTGCGCAGAAAGCTTCAGAGTTATATACATTTCCCAAAATCTGTAAGCATGATGGGAATTCCGCGGTTAATTGGCTGTTAATTGCTTTGTTACACCGCTCGAATGCGAAGGAATAAGCTGCTTACAGGCATGACGGCAGGTGTTGGCAGCTGAGGTGGTGCGGAGGCAGACATCTCCTCGGCAGAAGTTGGAGTGATGTCAGCGGGACTCGGGCTCACCATGGGGGGCCCCGATGGCACATAGCCAGCAACTTTTGTCTGGTCAAACAGCGTGCGCTCAGCCACGTTTGCAGCGTTGAAAAGATCTTCGACCAATTGATTGTGGTGTTGCTGCTGCGTTTTCAGGGCTTGTGACAGGTGGTGCTGAGTGTCCTCACGAGTAAACTGGTGAAATAATGGTAGTGCACAACCATCTAAACCAGTCAACTCACTGCAGATGCAAAAGGGCACAAAAGCACTGTTTCAAGAATAATGTAAACACAAACGCAACCCAAGCATTTAATAAATGGAAGCAGCCTTTTTGGTTTTAAAATATTTCAGAAAGATATTACATCTTAAGGCCGCGAAAATACTTAATTTATCAGTTACGCTATTAATAAACATGAACCTCATAAAGATAATTGAGCTCAAAGAGCTCATGAAAAAAATTGACGATCAGTAGTTAGTTGTAAAAGAACCGACAAAATTGGTCTTAAATTTACGAAATTTCTTGAAAAAACCAAGGTAAGGAAGTTTTGATCAAAGTCTAAAGGAGTCAGCTTTTTTTATGGGATAAATATCAACGTAGCAGCAACTGTAATAATGCGCTGTCTGCAGACTTCACACTAGGATGCCTGCTACATAAAGAAGTGCAGATTCTTCGTTTAACTTGGAGATTTTTTGACAGACACATTTGGGATTTTTGGGTTCAAGCAGTTTACTCATCACAAAATGGAAGTGTTTACACAAACTTGAAATTATTGCTTGAGGCGACAAAATATCCAAATTTCCAGCAGTAAGTAATTATGACCTTAT